GAGTCAAATTATAAGTGTGAACTTCACCCAGATAATGTGACTGATTTGTTTTTAAAAGGGAGTTTCACATTCAATGCCTAGAGGGATTAGGAAGTTATGAAATGAATAAAATGGACTTGGCATAAAAATAAAAGGAGCAAATTCCACGTTAGCTAGCAGTTATCACTGAGTTCATAGTTGGAGAGGCGATAGGGAGTGGTGAGGTATACGGCAAACTGGATGGCACGCACCCTATCTAAACTGGGCTACCCCTACTTAGCGCCAACTGTTACTCTGCAGGAACATGGGCCCTGTGTTAAACATGTTTCCAATTTTTCAAGAAATTTTGGAATTTTATGTGAAATTTCAAAATTTGTATGTTATGGAATTTCCTAAGAACTGTGATCAGGGTAAGGGTTAACGTGTTATAGGGAATAGAGTGCTCAGCTGCAAGGAGAAAATACTAAACAAAATGCTGGCCAAGTCTTTTGCACATCCCAAGCCCTCTTGGGGGGCCTAGGCAGCACCAGCCCATTAGCAGACCTACCATTACAAGGGAGCCAGCAAATCATCAAACCCATTCTCCTTTTCTTATCCGAAACTAGCAAAGTTTTCCCTGCTCCTGGAAGGGATGTTGGGAAAAGAGGACCTTCACATTTTGTTGGTGTAAACAGAACTTGCCATAGCCCTCCGGAAAGCAATCTAAGGAAACTAGAAATATATAAAGCTTTCAACCCAGAAATTCCACTCCTACAAATCTAACCTGCAGAAATAAAAGTGGGGAGGGGCACCCTAAGAGCCCCAACTTAAGCATTCTACAAAATATCCACGTAACAAAAGCATAGGTAGCCCCTTATTATTTTGAAATAAAAAGACTAAAATACAAGAAATGCAAGTGATGTGATGCACTTCATGCATGCCCAAGGATTTATTATAGCATTTTTTTATAGTGGTAAAAATAAATGTCCCCCAAGTGAAGGCTGAACAGCAAGGGAGGATGGAATATTATACAGGTGATGGTTAAAGACAGTGGTTGACACAGAATTTCCAAACTGTTTTAAGCACAAAATTCAAGATACTGATAAATGTAAGTAGTATGAGCCACTTTTTATATAACAAAATGACCGCGAAAAGGCAATGTATTATTTGTATATATATTTATATCATAAAGAAAAGAAAGGAAGAAACAAATGGTCCATTCTATTAATTTGGGTTATCTATTTGGAGATGGGGTTGGCATTTAGAATTACATCTTTAAAAACTTTAAAAGAATAAGGTCAATGGGCAGCGTCTGTGGCTCAAAGGAGTAGGGCGCTGGCCCCATATGCCAGAGGTGGTGGGTTCAAACCCAGTCCCGGCCAAAAAC